AAGTGCATCAATAACATGTGGGTCAAAGAACAGTCACGTAACCAGAAGGCAGGAACACTTTGTGCTTCCTGTTTTCTGTTCAGCACCCACTGCTCATTCTTCCTGTTTCCACACATAAGTGTGCATGTGATTCTGTGGGGGAGATGGGGAGGTCTGTCCAGGCAAAGGACCAACACATCTGCATATTTTCCTTGGAAGTGACTATTCAAGTCCTCTCTCCACTTTTAAAATTTGTTGAATGTAGTAATTTCTTCGTAATTCTTTGGTCTACACTAGACTCACAAATAACACCTCCCTTTTGGTAGGATAGTTTTTCATTTTCATAGTGCAAAAGCTTGTTTGATATAGTCTTGCTTGTTCACTTTTGCTTTTATTTACCTTGCCACCAGAGATGAATCCCCACACATGTAAGGTCAGTATCAAGAGTTTATCACTTATTTTCTTCAATGTATTTTATAGCTTCAGGTCTTACATTTGTCTTCAATCCATTTCTGAAATAATCTATGTGGTGTGAGATAGTGGACTAGTTTCATTCTTTTTTATGTCACTGTCCAATTTTTTCCAACACCATTTATTGAAGACTTTCCTTATCCCACCACATGCTCTCTTGGTTCCTCTGTCACACATATTAGCCATATATGTGTGGGTTTATTGCTGGCATCTCCATTCTGTTCCATTGATGTGTCTGTCTTCTATCCTAATAAATGTTTGGATTTCTACTTTGTAGTTTTATTTGTTGGGGAGCAGGTATCATATTTCCATTTCTCCCCAAACTGTAATTCCCCATTCCCAGGATATTTCTTGCTATTCAGCCTTTCATAATTCCAAATAATCTTTTGTTTATTTCTGTGAAGAATGTAACTGGGGTTTTGAGAGGGATTGCACTGAATCTCTATAGTACTCTATGTAATATAGCCATTTTTACATTATCAATTCTCCCAGTCCATGTAAACATAGTATTTGTTTCTTCATCAACACTGGTTTCTTCCCCACGACATTTAGTTTTCAGTTTTTCAGTTATCAACTCACAGCTGTGAGAGTGGCTATTATAAAAAGCAAGCTTTGTAGATGTTGTGGAGGAAGGGAATATTCATACATTGCTGTTGGGAACATCAATTAGTGCAGCTATTATGTAAAAACAGTACAGTCTTCAGAAAATTGAAAATAGAAATTTCATGATTCAGTTATTCCACTTCTTGGTATTTACCTGAAAACAAAAACATTAACTCAAACCCAATAAATGTAGACTATATTGTGCTTGGTTAAATAAATCATAAGGGAAAAGATAAACACCACATGCTTTCACTCATGAGAAAGTACATAAATGAACTAAGTAGAACAAAAACTTTTAGACCCTAGACCAAATTAATGGTAAAGGGCAAAGAGTGAGTAAATAAGATTAAGAAGGGTCAATTTTAGGCCCTCCCTGGTGGTGCAACAGGTTAAAGTGCAGCACAGCAAAGCTGGTTGCAGCCAAGGGAGGGGACCCACATGGCGCAGCAGACCTCTCCTGTCTTGCCCACTGCTCCCCTCAGCAGTGTACTTCCACAATCTGCCTGTTCTGCTCCCCACTCTGAATCTGATGAATCCTCTCACCACCCCAGCACCTCTAGTTTGTACCCCAGATCTGTATGCATAAAGGGTCAATTTTATGAAGCATGTATTTTGATACAGTGGTAAAAATAATTATGTCAACTGGAAATGTCATAGACTTAGTTCAATAAAGCTTTCCCACAAAAATCTCAAAAATTGCTATTAGCATCAATCATTGTTTTATTTATTTATGCATACAAGAACTGGGGTACAGGACAGAGGTTTGGGAGGTGAGAGGATTCCCCTGAGACAGAATGGGGAACAGAACAGCCAGACTGAAATCCACCACTGAGGAGAACAGTGGGGGAGAAAGGAGGCCTGCCTTGCCATGTGGGTCTCCTCCCTGGCTGGCAATCAAACTCATGCTGCAGTGTCTGTGCATAGTGCTGTGCTTTAACCTGTTTGGCCACCAAAGAGGGGCAGCATCTGTCACTTTTAACCTTCCCTAGAAATGCTTTATTAAAGGTGCACTCATCCCTTTGGGACATCTCACTTTTGAACGGGGGTACAGGCCAGAGGTGCAAGGGTTGGTCAGAGGATTCACCAGAGACAAAATGGGGGAGCAGAACAGGCAGCTTGACTTAGAACACTGCTAAGGGGAGCAGTGGTCGAAGCAGGAGAGGTCTGCTGCACCATGTGGGTCCCCTTCCCGGCAGGGGGCTTGAAGTTAAGAACCTACCATTCAGTTCAAGCTTCCTTCACTACCTTGGAGGTCTTCTGGTTCTTGCACTATTTGGATGTTTTAGTCTCTTATTAATAGTTTAGGTGCTATCCTCTGCAGTCTAAACATGGCACCAGGAAACTTTGAACAAGACTGACTTTTATTAGCAAAAGTTGTAAGAAAACCAACTTTAAGTATCTTCCTCTTGATATGTAGATTGTGGTGACAAAGTAACATTATCTGCTTTTTCTACTGTTGGATTCTTAGAATCTCAAGAATTAGTTGGTAAGTCCAATAGAATTAGTCTTGACCATTTTCATGGAGAATGCGAAACTCGCCACAGCTGCCTTGGTGAGTTCTCTGTGGAATCCTCTTCCCCCCACACACTCTATACCTCTCGCCTGTATCCCAGTTCTTGTATGCATAAATAAACAAGAATGATTGATACCAACAGCAATTTTTAACATTTTAATGGGAAAGCTTTGTTGAAGTTTATAACATTCCCAACAGAAGGCATTGATCTGGCAGTCAGTACTGACTTGGTTGTTTAAAGTAACAGGATTTACAAAGTAAGAAAACATTGAAAATGATTGTTGGCAACCTCTCCTTTGAGCTCCTGTAATATGTATTTGACATTTGCACTTTCCTCACCTTCTAGACTGTAGTTCCCTATGAATGTTTTAATCTGTGCTTTCCACACGTTTTCAAACCCCTATCAGTATTTATTGCTTGCAGACTTAATTCCATTAAATAAGATGTAACATGACGTATACATTTAACTGTACAGGTAGATATCATTGTACTTTTTCCTCTAGATTTCATGGCCGATTTTTGTCCATAGTCAATTCTTCAGATGACCATCTGCTGATTTCATCTTTGGTTATTTCATTCAAATGTTGCTTTTTCAGTGGACTTCTTGAATCTTCATTGGCCTTTCTCTGAAGGGTTTGTCTTCATTACTTATGCATAAAGGAATCTCATTACTGCCCCATGTCACACTTTGAAAGTCTGAAAACTGTACTATTTCAATAGCTAAAGAAAAACCTCTTTTCAGTTTTTGCAGTTCATGTCAAAAAATATTCCTTGGTGCCTATAAGATTCTAGTATAACATGTAAAAGTTACAAAGTGAAAATAGTGGCTAGTGAACAAGTTAGAATGACTGTCAACTCAATGTTTACTTATATACAATTGAGTGCTTTGTACGATACTTTGAAAGTGCCTTGAGAGATTGTGTATATCTTTTACAAAATGTCTTGTACTTGTTTAAGATTTTATTCATACATGAGCGGGGGTACAGGCCAGAAGTGCAGGGGTTAGTCAGAGGATTCACCAGAGACAAAATGGGGGAGCAGAACAGGCAGTTTGATTTACAACACTGCTGAGGGGAGCAGCTGGTAAAGGAGAGGTCTGCTGCACCATGTGGGTCCCCTCACTGGCAGGAGGCTTGACCTTGTGTGCAGTGGCTGCATTCTTGAGATTCTTCAGTCCAATAGAAGCAGATAGCTTCAGTGTTGCACTTTAACCCTTTGTGCCACCAGGGAGGCCCTGTACACCTTATTCTGATCTTGAATAGACAGCTAAAATAACATGTAGGAAAAATGTCTGTACAGCCTTTCCAGATAACCATGCATTCTTCAACACTGTACACAAAGGGTGGCTGCAATGAAAGCTAAAGCTACAAGGCACTTTTGGCTTATTCTGAACTTGTTCTGCCTAGTGTTATAAATAGGTCTATTCAGCATGCATTGGTTAACAAAGTATTGCTTCACTAAGCTATGCTGATCTTCCAAATGCTGACACATACAGTACATATCTAAACTAGTAACACTTGGAATAGTCCCATCAAACTGACTGAATATTTCAGCAATAGTATCTCAATTCAAATCTTCCAAAATCCTCATTTCTGCTTGAAAGCTGAATCATCACTGGCAATAAACTTATTTTCCTTGAATTGCTATGCAACTTGAGAAGAATGCTGATGTTCTCTCAATGGGATTAGTTCAGAAGTCAACTATATCCTTATTTCTTGATGGCTGTTAAACCAATGAAGCTGTCTGTTTCAGATTCTTCTGGAATGCATGAGGCAGTTCTTCACATGTTCTTGTGACTTCATCACTTAGGAAATTCAAAGAATGAGTCCTCAAATAGACAACTTTTCCTGCTATATCAAAAACGGAACATGTTCAATTCTAGGAGTTTCCTGTAAGTGAAGACCTCCATGACTGGTGTCACAACTGGATTGGTGCTTCAGTGCTCCTGGCCTCACTGATCACTGAATCTTGACATGAAGTCATCCCAACACCCCAGACAAGCAGAGCCACTTTTCCTACAGAAGAAGAGGTCACCTTTTTTGAGAAGCCATCTTCTATATTCTTCAGAATGCATTTTACTTGAGATGTCATAGAACACATGAGTTACCATCATGTGGATTTTGATGTGTACAGCACAATCTATCTCAAGACTGAGACAAGAGCAAAAGTTAAACTATATCCATCAAACAAGCATTTAGTTCTTAAAGAGAAATTATACATCTTAAGGATAATAGCTTATTTTCTGAGCTTCCTTGCAATTTCCTAAACCCTAGTAAGATATTTATTTGTTCTACCAAAGGCAAGCTGAAAAGCTTGCTGTCATTTGTGACAGCTTAACATTTTCTTCTTTGAAAAATAGCTTCCTAAAAAGTGTCTGTGACATTAAGGGTAGGAAATGAAGCACAAATCACACCAGTATGATTTCATATCTTTTTTTGTAAAAAATAAATGTTTATTTCAAGTATGAAAAGTAATGCTTAAACATTATCCCAAAATTGTGTTTAGCATAACAAGTATAAAACAAGACTTCTGACAAAAAGTTTACAAGTACAAAATACTTAAGAATATTCTTTGACATTCACAGTGAGGATTTTGAAAAATAAGTTTTGCCAGTAACCTTTAGAAATAAAAATACATGTACAGTCCCAGATAAAATAAACGGTCCATATCCCAAGGAGAGGCTTCCTCGAATGGTCAGTTAACATTTCAAAATAAGACCTATGTTAAAAATTCCCTTTAAATGACAAATTGGGTTAGTCATGATGAAATTCAACACTTACAGTGTCACTGATGTATAGCATCATTTCTTACATTTTGCTATTCAAAAATAAGGTTCTCACATGTTAATTAAATAATTTCAATGGTATACACAACCCAAGGGGTAGCTAAAACCTTGAGTAGTCCCAGGTTGTCTGAAGGAAGAAATGCCAGAAATTTTCCAGGGCCAACTCCAAAATAAGCAGATGAATTAAAGTCTCAAAATTACTTTAAGGGGCTACTACCAAGGCTTCTGCTTCTCTTCTCCATGTACATCTTTTTGTAGGTCTGAAACATTGCTTTTGAATCCTTTACTGCATTTTGTCCTGTGTCAAAGCCATCTGCACTGAAACTTCTTTTGAAGACTCTTGAATTAGCCAAAACATTATTGTCTAAGGAAACAGAAATATTATTGACTTTATTACCCTTCTGGTGAGCAGGCAAAATGAGGGGGGTGCATGTGTCCTTCTCTGGAATAAACACAGCAAAAATTAACCCAAAACATTCTTGTCTAAGGAGACAGAAACACTGACTTCCTTCATTCACCTTCTGACTGACAACTAGTCAATATATAATCAATCTTAGCAAGGAAACATGCCTTCTTCTTTGGAATGGACACCAGATCTTGATGCTACCTGCCCAACCACTTAGGCTTTCCCTCTAGAACTATACCCCTGCCCTGCTCTGGCACCTGTTTTCTACTCTTGTCCTCATCTTTGCTGCCCAGGACTGTTCTGCTCCTCCTGAATTTACTCGTAATAAAATCTCAACCAACTGTAAACTCATGAATGTGAGTTTCTTAGCAGTTCTCTGAACCAGTAGAACAAAGAGAGCACAGCTGGTTCTGGTGAGCAGGTGGGGGCTTTTTGAGTGCTGGTTGTTGAGGTCCAGATACACTAAGAGGCCCAGCTTTCCTGTTTCTGTTTCTTTATGTGCCACTACTTCAGAACACCCACGTCTCAAGCCTGCTGTAGCCTCTCCCACAGGGGTGGCAGTATGGTTTCAATGTTTCCTTCCTGAGCCATCTCAATTTCTTTTCTGCTCTCAGCACTGCTGATGACTGGGATGGGTCTGTCTCAATGGAGCTTTCCATCCTCTTCTACCTAAACCAACCGAGATGGATTCCCCAGCCTGCTTCTCCACTGGGTGCCCTGGTTTGGTTTCTGCTTATGGCTTGGGCTACCTCAGCCTCATGCTACTAAAAAGCTTTCAGCGTATGTTCACCTCCAGACTCCAAACATGCTTCACTGCCTTCACAAAGTGATCTTCTCTCTCCTGATTGATAGGACCAATCTCCAGGTCCATCTCACCTATTTTTGACTTAGTGTGTCAACGTTAGAAGAGGTTTTTCGATCTTTAGGTCTCTCACTCATTCCCCACTGATTAAGAGTACATTTCCTCTTCCTTTCATTCAATTTAACTTTTCTCCTACCTGCACCTTCAGAGCACAAGTCTCAGCTTCTTCCCACCTGCATATGTGCATGTCTAAAGCCCTTGACCCTTTCACACTTCCTCTTTATAAAAATAAACCCCACTTCATTTCCACGTCAACTGTAAACCCTCAACTTTGCAGGTTCATGCAACCAAAAGTAATATTGAAAACTCCAGAACCCCAGTCTATAGGTTTAATTAATTAAATCAGACACTAAAAGCTTTACATTTTCTAATTAGGTCCTCAACCCATATCCCTCATCTACAAGAATCAATTTACTCAAAACACCCATCTCTCATCACCAAAATAGCTCAACTCCTAAGTGAACTTTGAAGAGAGGGGGCCTGCTTCAAGTACCTATTCGTCATCCAGTCAAGTCACCTTTCTCAGTGATCTCTACACTCACTGATAAGGGGGAGCATGCTTCTCTACCCTGTTTCAGTAAATAGATATGACTTAACATACAATTCACCCAAAGTCAGGGTTGGCCACCTATGGCCTATAGCTCAACCCAGCCTGTGGCCAGTGTCGGCTAAGTTCCCTCGAAGCAGTCCATATTCATGTGTTGTGTGGCTAACATTTCACCTCAATTCCAGGACTGAGTGTTGAGTCTTTACCACTTGCAAAGCAAAACGCTTTGCTGTCTAGACTGACAAAGAAAAGCCATGTGACACCCTAAACTACCCCACTGTGGTATTTTTGAAAAGAAAACATCTTCCCCTCCACAGGGAGAAGATGGGAGCCCAGCATCAGACATACAAACATCAAATCATCAAAAAAATATACAAGGGCCAAAACCAGACTTCACCTTGGTTCAGAACAGAACCCAGCTTACGACAGAGTACCATGTAAGACAAAAACTTAAATGGATGGCTTTACCTAGATCTTCGTTGGCTTCCGGCATCCTTTTCTCCTCAGTTACACATTTTAACCAGTCTTCTTTTGTGCTTTTTATTCCTGAAACTATGTAAATATTCATTTTCAGATCTCTAAATATTGCTATATACATTTCTTTAGTACTGCTATGAATGAAAATCATGTCAGCCTAAGATAATCATTAGAAGGCATTAGAACTACTCACATAGAACTAAAAAGGGCTGGAAGATGCTCTGACGTGTGAATACCATACAATTTGAAACACGACCTGTTTTAAAGGTTTCTCTTCACTATGCGATTAGCTGTGTTTCTCCCATGTGGACGGAACATCATACATGGAGGGGCCAGTGGCCTACATGGACTTGCCTTCAACTTACTCCACCTCAATGCTGCCCATGCATTCCTACACTTAAGACCGGACTTAAAGTATCTAGTTGTTAAGGTCCAAGGAAATTCACCAAGATGTTACAGACATTTTAATGCTGTTTATATCTGACCACAAGTTGCTATGCTGTGCTGTCCAACAAAGTGCTCCATGCATGCTGCAGGGTCATGCCCCTCCAGCACATGAATGCACTGGAGTGATGGTTCCCATAGTTGTCTTGGCCTCTCAGCATAACGGCTTAAATGAAGCCACTATCTCAAAATGTTTCCTTAGGGAACAGATATTTAGCTGTCCATTCCCTCTTTGCTTCCTGCACTGCAGTGAGAATTCGCTAAGACTACTGCGTTTACCATCTGGGCTTGGGGACTTGACACTGGTCAGCTGCCCCACATCATGAGCAGATTAGGCCACTTCCAGGACCCTATGGTAACAGATTCAACAAGCCAAACCATTTCCATAGTTATGAATAGGTTTCACTAACCATCATTTCATGTCTCCCCTGTATTTAGATCCAAACTTTCCATATATGGGGGCTTTGAAATTGTGGCAAGACAAAATCAAAGCCATTCACATACACAGGTAATTTTCTCTAACTCAGCACCAATTCTTTATGCAACATGGGCTTCTTGGTACAATGTCACCTTTGAATGTGAGATAGTCACATGGTTCCTAGCTACTCCCACTGGCAGCAGTGCCACCCAACAGGCACGCAGACACCAGGTATACCATCAAAACACCCATACCGCACCTTGCATGGGCGCCTGCTCCTTCCGGGGACAAGGCTTTAGGTCCTTTTGGTCTTCCGTGGAGCTGGCATTCTTCATCATGGTCTCAGGGCAGAGCTTAAATTCCAGCATGCTTCGATTTTCTGAGGTCTCTTTCCCAGACAAAAAGCTCTTATGTTTACTTTCTGATCTCTTAGGTTTATTTTCTGATCTCTCTCTATCTCTCCCAAGCTTCCTGGGTGAACTATCCAGTTTTGTGAGACAGATGCTCTCCCGTTCTGTGCACTTAAAGGCAACTCGGTTCAGGTACCGCTTACGTTGATCCTTTGTGTGGGAAGACATTGGGCCTAACACACCTTCAATGTTCACACCACTGTTCTTGTCTACTTTGGTTTTATCAATCCACATTTTATCAGATGGCTTCCCACCAACTGCTCCTTTAATACTTTTCAAATTGTGTGTTTTAGACTCTTCAGAATGGTGGATTTTGAGGTTTTTACTAAGGTTGGTGCACACTTCTTTAGAGGTCTGCCCGCCGCCACTGCCATGTCTCATGCTTGACTTCCCAGAGCTCCCTACTCGCAATGCAAGCTTACTGGACCGCATGATTTGATAATCCCGAGACCTACTTTTCACATACTTTTTCTTTGACACTTTCACACCCATTGCTTCTTTATGCTTTTGCTTTTGGATACATTCTGCTGTTACAAGCCTACTCTTTTTAGAGGCACTCTCTGTAGAGCTTGAGATCTTCATGTTCGATACTGCCTTCTCTTTAACACTGGCTCTCTCGCTGGACAAAGACAAAGGATGACCTAATTTCAATGTGCCACTTGTCACATTTTTACTCTGCTCGTGCTCATATTTCTTTCTCTTTATCACTGAATCAAGTATGCTACCTTCATCTAACTTCCTTTTGTCCTGATGTTTCTGGCTAGAGCTGCCAGCTTTTAACTTCAATGTCCTGTCCTCCAGTGACACTTGCTGTGCTGTTGTCTTCCTATGTGGCTCTTTATTTGTCAAGCCCCCACCCTTTGCTTGTGAGTTGGGTGCCATGTGTTTCTTCTGCAGTTTCTCCTGAGATTTTGTCACTTTATTACTGGAGTGGAAGGTGACCTCGTGAAACACTAATTTTCTGCTTTTGTGACTTTTCGAGGAATCCTTTTTTCTATCACTTTTCGAGTGGCCTGATAACGTGTGTTCTGTCTTTACTAAGTTGTTATGCTTTGCTTTGGCTTTCTGTTTTATAGCCTTGCTCTTTTCTATTTCAGAAAGATCATTTTTCCTCTCTGGAAGGGAGAGAGAAATCTGAGCTTTATCTGGAGGATCATTAGCTTCAACAGGGCCAGGTTGGTCAGAGGTTTTATCTTCTGGCTTACAGCCACTGGTCTCCAAAGGAGAACACTGAGTTTTGTCTTTTTCTTCCTCTGAAATCGAGTTCTTGATAGAATGGCACTTGCACTGGGGAATTCCTTTGTAAACCACAGCAAGCCACCCCAGCGCACAGCAGCGCACATCGTCTTTCTCAGGGTCCACTATTACACAATCAGAACTGTCTCCATCTCCACTGTGGGCTGGTAGTAGAGTCTGGCCTCCTTCCTTGGAAACAGTCATCTCTTTTTGAGGTTCTGTGGCTTTTTTTGCTTCTTGAGGCTGCTCATCCTGCTCAGGAAATAATTCTCTCATTTGTTCTGAACTTAAAACTGTAATTTGTATTTGGTCTGCTAAGTCTTTGGAGTCACAAGAAATATTCTCACATGTTTGATCTTTCGAGACTTCACCCTTTTTTACTTTGGGTACAGAACCCTCACATGAATTCACAGCTTCAATACCAAAGGGAAACTCTATTAGAAGTTCTGACAGCTGGTCGTGTAGGTATGAGACAGAGGTGTTCTCATTGATAATCCCACTGCCCATTGGATCCTGGGCAGTGCCACTGCAGGACGAGGCCATCTCCTGTGGGCACACACCCTGCTGCGGAGCAGCTGAGGGACACATGCAGTCACCAGTTCCTTCATCAGCGATGTGCCCTAAACTGCCTTGCTTTAGAATTCCACTGTTTGTTTCACTATTCTTTAATGAAGATGACTCAGGAGGATGGGATGATTTGGCCTCATCTGTTATTTCAAGTGAAATACCTGTGTTCCGCTCATAATTATCCTTCTGAGAACCAAAGTCTTTTTTCTCAATGATGTCATCACCTAGTTCTTTTTGTTGTCTGCCACTAACCACTTGGTGAGTAGATAGGAGTTTCTGTGGCTCAACCTTTTGCAGAGGGGGCATGCAGAACATCTTTGCGATTTGGGAATTGTATGATACATCGCCTTCCACAAGAGAACAAATGCTGTCTATCTGCAAGACACCCCCACCCCTTGACTCAAGGGAGGGAAGCATACTAGTCACTGGGTAATGGCTGTCCAGTTCTGCTTTTATGTACTCCCGCTCATCTGGACTAGGTGTTTCTTCTAAAGTAACACTTGCTGACCCAGTTTGCTTTTCGTTCAGAATCAATGGGGAAATCCTGGAGCATGTTATAGTACTAGTTATGGAGTCACTAACTTTCAAAGAAGCAACATCTTGTCTATCTTCTGCCAACTGGTTTTGTAAGCTACAAACGCTGCCTTCCTTAATAACAGGATACACCATTTCAGGTAAGGCCCCAGGTGTCATTTCTTTGTCAGGCAGTGTTTTGACATCTGACAGAATTAAGGGTGACACTACAGCAATCTGAAGCTCTGTGCCCTTTGTGACAGTTGCACTTGCTGACTCACAGTTCTGTACTACTGTCGACAAGGCTGTTTCTGTCAAGTTGTTAACCATCCTAGTCTCAGAATTTCCAACAACTGGCAATGGACTCTTATCACAGATTTCCACAGCCTTTGACATTCCATTGGCTGTTCTGTGTGTCTTCAAGTCATTATGCTGTTTCTCTTCTGTGGATTCTGGAGGCTGTTTTTTCCACAGAGAAAGACATGTTGCTAGCAATTCCATGGGACACTGACCTTCATTTTGAGAAGACATTCCGGTTGCTGAGGATTTATGCTGATGAGAAAGGGAATTGTCTGAAATCTTATTTATGCTACAAGAACTTGGAGTTGCCATAGATTTCAGATTCCGTTGATTATCAATGACTTGGGTATTTGGAGTCATTTCAGTATTACGTAGATTAGTATCCTGAAGCGTTTTACCAGAATCTTTTAGTAATTTCTCCTGAGTTTTATTTCCAGCTTCAAGTAAACTTACAATAAGAGGATGTTTATTTCGATAATCTCCAACAGATTCCTCAAACGATGGAGAAAGAGGAATAGAAGTGGCTTCGAAATTTGTTGGTGTGCTTTGTTCAATACTGACAGAGCTTCCTGGTGAAAACTGGCTATTACTTGATGTTGATGGGGTGATTGGAACAGTTGCCATCTTTAAGGAAATCAAACTTTGCAAGTCATGAAACTGGGCTGGTGCCGGCAATTTTTCCACACTGACAGAATTGACAATAACTTTGTTAAACTTTTTGCAACTGGTGTTGGAATTCAAGGTATGATGTGATCTACTATTTTGTTGTGTAGATTCCATTACAATTGGTGGTTTATCCTGCACCTCTGTAGCAACTTGAGTTACCTGTGGTACAGACTGATTTCTGACAGCTTTTTTTACAGTTAATTCTGAATGTTGAGCTGTTGAGCTGTAAGGGGGATTATTTGTTTTAATACAACCTGCTGCCATCAGAAGGTCTTTATTAATTTTAATTTTCCTAGCCAGTTCTGAAAATTTCTTTTTTATTTCTACTAATGTTTTAATATCTCTCACTAGCTTTTCCTTTGTGGCACTTGTATCCAGCACTTGAGATGAAGGTTGGCTGCAAGAATCCACCCTTTTCTCTTGATTATTTTGAGTAAGATCCTGGATACCAGGTGCAGAAGCTCTAACACGTTCACCAAAAGGCTGGCTGGCATTAGTATTTACTTCCAAATTACAGAAATTTCCAAGCATGCTGGCATTTTCATTAACACTCTGCCACTGCTGTTGAAAACCCCTGCAGAAGTCTTTCCTCAGTTCAGGTAAGTGTGTTTCCTGGCTCTGAGGCACGTCTATGGGAAAGTGTTTAACCACATGCTGAGGACTTTGCATAGGCTGGCCCGTGAAACTGCATTCGTAAGGAGGAGGGGGTCTTTTGTTAGCTTGAGTTGCTGCATACGGGTATGACAGTGCAGGCCCCATTGGCTTTGGCTCACAAGTCAGTGCAGAATTTGGAGGATGACTATTTTTAACTTGCAATGATGTTGATGGCATAGGGTTTTGTTTCTGATGATTAGGCTCTTGCAAACAGCTTTGTGGTGAATAACTGTATTGATGTGGAAGTGGTCTGTGATCTGGGTAAGTCAACTCGCTGGCTGCCTGCTGTTGGGCCCAATTACCCTGGGGCGGTAAAGATGGGTTAAGTCTTGGATTTCCTTGGTATGTAACAGGAAATCTTACAGAGTTAGAAGGTGACATTTGAAGCTGCACAGAGTAGTTGTCAGAGGTGACGTACTGATTCTGCAGTGTAGGCAAACTGAGGGTCCCGGTTCCAAAGCCAGTTTGATGCGTCACTGCAGTGCCCGTGTGGGAGAGCATAGAATTCCTGGCTGTTGAGTTTAACCAGGTATTTTGTGTCAGTCCTGGGGACATTTGGAAACTGTGATCAAGTTGTCTGGATCCTTTAATATTTGCATACGTTATTCTTGCTACTGAAGTTTGTGAGGTCATCAGTGTCTCACTATGAGTATCAGAAAGAGGCATCTGTTGAGGAGTCTTGTAATTTCTGATGTTGACCTGTGGCTGTGGAACTGGATTTGAATTACTGAGAAACACACAGACATCTTGGGTACTTCCAGGATGGTTCAACGAACTTTGAGGTGTTGTGTTTAATGTGGTTCTTAAAGCTTGCTCCAAAAAAGACGACTGTTTCTTAGGATACAAAGGTCGCAAGGTGGCACGCCCTGGTTTTGTATTCCAACTCATTGTCAACAGGAAATAGCAGCACTGTGTTAACAGTTTTTCTGGATGTCAGGAATCTGTAAGAAAGAAAGATCTTATGTTTAAGCAAAAAGTTGATCTGTATGGATAGAAAATTGGTTTACTTCAACAGCAAAACTGTCTATGCTTATTATAAATCCTGTTAACTCATCATAGTAGACAAAATCTCACCTTTAATGTGGGCAGGAGGAAAAGTGAAAGAGGTGGCAAAAATAAAAATGGCAAACAATAAGATTTCTGGGGTGTTTAAGAGGATTCATTTTACACAATGCAATTAGTATTTTATTTTTAATATTTAAGTAGTCATTACTTTCTGCTAACTCTGCTAATTATAGAAAAAAATCAAATATAAGTGGAAAAAAAAAAGAGAAGGGCCTTCATTGTTCAATCCCAGGATCAAATTCCCAGAAATAGTACCTTATTTTTCATCAAATTTCTCTACTTAACACTAGTGATACAAAAATAAAACCTCATTTTTGTAATCAAATGGAATCCTACAAACACATGGTTCACCCTGCCTGGTCTTCACAATTTTTTTCTGTACTGCAAAGCTTCATGTAGGAGATCTGACCTCACTACACACACCTAACCTTGGTGTCACCAACATATTCCACTTTAGGGATTTATCACTTTTTAACCAATGATTTATTACAGTCTAATAGATTTAATTATTTAAGTTTGTGCTCCTGCAAACTATCCTACATTAAGCATCTTGTGTGCATTTGTATTTGTGTGAAATGTTCCCGGAAATTCCTGGATATAAAGTCAATGTGCCAAAGGAAAATATTACTGTCATCCAGAGTGTCAATCTGCCTTCCAAAAAGGTTGAAATCATTTACATTCACCAATGGTATCCTGACAAATCTGAAACTGGACATGTTCATAATAAACACTGGGGAAAGAATTAACATATCAAACCAGCCTGCTGACATATTAACATCATCCCCAACTACAGGGTACACTTCCTTCCCAAGCATACAAGGGAATGAGAAGAAAGTATCTTTACCATTATCAACCAGGTGGCTAGGCCATAAGCACATTTCAAAGAGTTAAAAATAATTCAAATTGAGCCCTCCCTGGTGGTGCAGCAGGTTAAAGCACAGCACTAAGAAACTAAAGGCACTTCAGCACAAGTTTGATCCCTGCTCCAGAGGTGACCAACATGGTGCAGCAGACCTCTCCTGACGTGCCCGTTGCTCCCCTCAGCAGTTTATTTCGTTGATCTGCCTGTTCTGCTCCCCACTCTATCTTTGATAAATCCTCTTACTGCCCCTGCAACCACTGGCCTGTACCTCAGTTCTGCATAATCTTTAAAAAAAAAAATAATTCAGACTGATTCACAGGGGGATTAATCTAGAAATTATAGGAAAAACGGTAACTGGACAACTGCCAAATAATGGGGCAATAAGAAAAATGCACTTTACTTTCAAGCAGACAAAGGACGGCTTTCTCTACTTAAAATGATACCAGTGTGATGGTGGGAATGCAAACTAGTACAACCACTATGGAAAACTGGAGGTTTCTCAAACCTCTAAAAATGGAGCTTCCATATGACCCAGCAATCCCATTCCTAGGTATCTACCCAAAAGACACAAAAGCACTGATTCAAAAAGACATCTGCACCCTCAGGTTTACTGCTGTTTTATTTACAATAGGAAAGACATGGAATAAACCCAAGTGCTCAAAAGCAGATGACTGTATTTAAAAGATGTGGTACATACACACAATGGAATACTGCTTGGCAATCAAAAAAGATAAGCCCATGCCTTTTGCAGCAAACATGGATGGAGCTGGAAGGGATCATGTTTAGTGAAATAAGCCAGAAAGAAAAGGGGAAATACCAGATGGTTTCACTCATAGCAGGTCTATAAAGGACCAACGGAGAAAATAACAGTAATAATAAACAACTATGTATACCAGAGACATAAGGGTGGAATGGGAAATGGGATCAAAAATGGAGGGCAGGGGGAAGAGTGCACTGGACTATGGTGATAGCACACAGGTCAACTGGTAATGGGAAGGCCACAGGGATTACAACTGAGCTGGAAAACAGCACACAATTATGTAAAAAATAAACTATTATATCACTATTTTTTTTAATGATTTATTTATTTATGCACACAGAAATGGGGTACAGGCCAGTGGTGCAGGGGGTAGTGAGAGTCTTCAGACACAAAGAGTGGGGAGTAGAAAAGGCAGATCAACAAAGTACACTGCTGAGGGGAGCAGCGGGCGGGTCAGGAGAGGTCTGCTTGCCATGTGGATCACCTCCAAGCCTGGGGATCAAACTCACACTGAAGTTGCAGCCAGCTTGAAATGCTGCATCCTAACTCATCGCGCTACCAGGAAGGGCCCTAAACTATATTATTTAAAAAAAAGAAGACACCAGATGCATTAGATCAGCCCAGCAGTTCCCCCATATATAGTCTCACACACAGGGGCTTAGGACTGCAGCCTGTGAGTTGAGGATCACACAGTTCAATCCATAACAAGCTCTCATTCCCATGTTTACCTAAGAGTGTGGGATAATAGATAACATCTAAAATATTGTTTTTTTAATATTTATTACTTTTTATGCATACAAAACTGGGTTACAAGCCAGAGGTTCAGGGGTAATAAGAGGATTCACCAGAGACAGAGTGGGGAGCAAAACAGGAAGATCGACAAAGTACACTGCTGAAGGGAGCAGTGGGCAGGTCAGGGGAGGTCTGTGACACCATGCGGGTCACCTCTGGTACAGGCGGAGATCGAACTCACACGGAAGCAGCTGCGGCTCACTTGCAGTGCTGTGGTCCTAAACTGCTGCGCATCAGGGAGGGCCCGAAAACATTTTGGAAAATAATCTCCACATATTAACTAGCTAATAACCCAAGAAAAAGAAATTCAGTCAGTAAAATTCAAACACATACAAAAATATAGACTCAACAAATTGGTTCTTCAAAAGCAATTTTTAAGTCAGTTAGCCTCTGAAATACAGATAAAGAATACAGATAATGATAAAAAGAAAAACACAATATTGGAAAAAGACCCTACAGACATTAAAGTAATTAATACTAGTTTTGTGTAACTTTTCCCAAAATACATTTAAACTTCAGGTGGAATGGACAAAATCCTTTAAAAACACACTTAACGCTGTAAGTCTAACATTAAGAAAACATCAGCTCTCTCTAAAGAAAGCATATCTACAGGGCCCTCCCTGGTGGCGCAGTGGGTTAAAGCACAGCACTGAGAAGCTAAAGCCACTTCCTCATGAGTTTGATCCCCGCCTACCCGGGAGGTGACCACATAGCACTGTAGACTTCTCCTGACCCGCCTGCTGCTCCTCTCAGCAGTGTACTTCGTCAGCCGGCCTGTTCTGCACCCCACTCTGTGTCTGGTGCATCCTCTCACTGCCTCTGTACCTCTGGCTTGTACCCCAGTTCTGTGTGCACATATCTTTTAAAAAAAAAAAAAAAAAAAAAGCATACCTACAATAAATTATGCACAAAGAAAACACCATGTCTCTAAAGTATGAATGAGATGGAGCAAACCTAGGAGACTGCAGTCGACTATGTTATGGGTCAGAGCCTGCACATTTTAAGAACATAGGACTCTAAAGCAGACACATGGTGAAAAGTAACAATAACAGATTTACTCACATGGGAAAAGAGCTGAGAGGGAATTTACAGGCTGGCACATGGCCAGATGCTGTCTACCTGCCCCAGGTGGCATACAATGAACAGAGACAGGGATCCAAGATGAAACTGCACATGGCAAGATGGTGGTTTCTCCAAGGACACCCTTCCTCACCTGCTGGTGAAAACACCAGCTTTTCAACTGCCAGGCGCCCAGCTGTTCAACTGTCAGGTGCCTGGCAGTTCAACTGCCAAAGCTCCCAGCAGTTCAACTGCCAAAGCCGAGCTCCACCCTATTTCCCTATGGTCCTCCAGCAAAGACATCGGTGGGTGAGTCTGGAAAGTTCTACCTTCTAGCATCAGGTTGGCTGTAAGCATCAGCCATGAATTTGGAGGTTGCATCTCACTATTCCTCTTACAACTGGAGTATTTTATCAATCATTTACAGAAGTATTCTATCAATCAAATTTCAGTCATCTGAGACAACTCTTTAAAAAGGATAAGAGGCCCTTCCCTGGAGGCACAGTGGGTTAAAGCACAGCACTAAGAAGCTAAAGCCACTTCCGCGTGAGTTCGATCCCCGCCTGACCCATGGCGTGGCAGACCTCTCCTGACCCGCCCGCTGCTCCCCTCAGCAGTATACTTCAGCAGTCAGCCTGTTCGCTCCCCACTCCGTCTCTGGTGAATCTTCTCACTGCCCCTGCATTTCTGGCCTGTACCCCAGTTCTGTATGCACAAATAAATCTTAAAAAAAGAAAGAAAAAGGATAATAGGGGACATTTTACAGTTCCTTTACTTGATTATGTCGTAACAAAAGTACAAGAAGAAAAGAGCCCTATCTCTCAGAAACAAGAATGCTAAAATTCTAAACCAGTACCTAATTTGATATCAAATAGAGTGATGTAGGAAACAGGTAACACACCACAGTATTCCGTATTTTGGGAAAGAAATTAGTAAAATATTATTTGAAAGAAATATGCTAAGTTTTTTTTTATTACCATTTCAATAAATGCAAGAACTCTTGATAAGATTAGTATCTATTCATTTAGTTGATTAGACCGATACCAAACTCAGAATAAAGAAACTTCATCAGCATCTTAGACAATAAAACAAAGATAACGCTATTATTCCGTCTACTCATCACTGTACTGGAAATTCTAGCAAGGTTAACAATTGGGAAGGAAATCATAAAACTGACTATTCAGATAAATTACAAAGAAAAACCAAAGCAATAAGCACATTTTATAAACTTATTAATTATAAACTACTGAAGACAAGGTCAATATGCATGAGTTGACTGGCAATTAGGGAAAAAATACCATTTCCGATATGATAAGAAGTCAACTGCTCAGAAACGCAAAGATATGTGAG